AAGTATTAATTTTACAAAAAATTTACAAGATACCTTTTTTGTAGTAAATATTTATTACTATAAAAATAGTCCTATACATGTATGGTCTAAATTTAGAATTTAAGACATTACAGGGGAAAATGTATAATTCACCCCCCTTATCATACAACTTTAACCCCTTTGAGGCACGTGAAGGGGTTGACTTATCAAATTCAAATTTTACCAAAATTATCTTGTCAATATACCAAACAAAATTTCGAGCCCATGACATAACATTAATGAAGTTCATAAATAAGGACCACCCTAATGTGCATATTTGTTACTATTTTATTGACCAACAACTGTAGGTTATAATATTTAGGTTAGCGCTTGTTCATTTTTAATTTTTTTACAGTTATAAATGTTAACACATGTTCTTATACATATAAATAATAAATAATTAAAAGTTAAGCTTGTGAGTTGTTATATTATTTTATTACCTAACATGTGATGTTTAATATAAATTTGTTTTATTTGTATTTTTAATGAAATATTTTAGACTAAATTAAATTAAAAATTTTAATTAATTTTTATAAACCAAATTTTATATACCAAATACTACTATTTATTTTTACTGACCTAGCATAATATGCTGAGGATAGTTTTTTTTTTGGGGGGGGGGGGGAGAAAACTTATTTTTATTTTTTACACCCTATAAAAGGTTTTATAAACAAATTAGTGTAAAAAAAAAAAAGAAGTCTTGTCTTATGGACTAACTAAAAAAGTTTGATATGATTTAAACTTTGGTAAGGGAACATTCATTTACCATTTTTGGTAATTATAGTCTCCCCTTGACATTTTTATCACTTTAACCACTGAATACTATAATTTAACGGAAACTCGATGAATTGTGAATTTCGAATTATCGTTTGAAAATTGATTTTAGTAAAATTATTAGTTGTTAAACATCACGTGGCCCATTTTGAGAAAATTTGGGGCCCTGAGACTTTGCAGTTGATACTACCAGTACGAAAAATAGTATCTTAAAACACCATAATAATTTTTAGGGCGTTTGTAAATTGCGTCCACATTAAGTAGGTAGTAAAAATACTATAGTGAATTGCGCACGGGATTTTTCGGGGTCTAAAATGGGTAAATAAATCGCGCCCATAGTATCTAAGTAACTATCTAAGTGATCATTACCTAGTATTTTTAGAGTCAGAAAATGTTTACAATTATTTTAACTATGAATTTATGAATTAATGCCTACAATGTCTGAAGATAATCGACTTCTTGCTATGTTTAAAACACGTATATTTTATTCGCTGACTTTCCTCCGAATATTTGGTCATCAGCTTCCTCAATATTAACTCGGACAACTAAAGGACAATTCGGCTTGTGAATATTTCCTGTACTAACTGTATTTTTTATTATTAACATTTTTAACTTAACAAAAAATATTAAAAAAACTATTGTTAATACCATATCATAAAAAAAGTAATAATAATGATTTTCCTGTTTTTATTAATTAATTTATTCATCTCAAGTAAACTAAAAAAAACATTTTTGGAGGACAGTGATAGTTGCCTCCTCGTGCTGTCTTCTAGGTAATGCTAAATGACTATCATTTTTTTTTCAAATTTGTATCGAAACGACAATCTAGGTCTTAATCGATGTCTTTTTCGCTTGGGAGGGGTAGAGTGCACTAAGAGTGCACTAAATGACTATCACAAAAATAATATTTATATTGGACGCAATTTACTATGTAGAATTTTGTACCTGAAAAATACAGAGCGCAATTTACTACATAAAACTTTATACCTAAAAAATACCGGACGCAATTTACGTTTGCCCGATTTTTATACTAAACTCATAATTTACACAAACCAGCTGTGTTAGTATATTTAGATATAATATACATAAACATATTTACATGAATACATTATATTCGATGAGTTAAAATGTGTTTTACTTTGTTGAGTATTTTTATGTTAAATATTAAACGTATGATAATTTACTAAGATAATAGTTCCCAAGATTGTTGAATCACTTATGGAATTCAAGGTTTTAACAATAGACATTTAGCCTTTTGTTAAAACATTTTATAGCTGTATACCAGCCATAAACCATTGTATTCTAGCTGTATCTTTTTCTTGTATAGCACTATAAATACACGAATAATTTGATTGTGTGTATGATATGATATTTTTAAATAATTTTTCAACACAATTTACATCATACATATCTATAATATATATATATATATATATATAGTAGGTACAGTGTACGTAGGGATTTTATTTTAAATAGATATATTTGGTTGTATAATTAGAAAATAACTCCTTAATGAGAAAAGATAACGGAAAACTAAATGTATATATAGAAAGAAATAAATTAAAACAGTTTATTTATATTCATTAGCATTATTTTTGTTGGGTTATCCGACTCGATTGTTTTGACGAGAAGTGTTTATTTTCAAGCGTGATATTTGTTTTCCGAAAAGATGCAATGCTATATTTTTTTATGATTATGTTATTCTGTTCTATTGTTACATTATTACTCGAAAATTGATAAACATTATAGTTATAATATGAAAAAGAAAAAAAGTTATCACTACGTAATAATATTTGCTTATGATTTGGTATAAATTTCTAAGATTATAACTCTAGGGCTACCAAGGTATCATGAATATGTACGTTAATGCACGAATGCATAATAATAACGACACCAGAAGATCATACTGAAATCAAGACCGTGTTAAACGTCGTTGAATTTTTTTATTCGCAGCTCTGTAGTTTGGACGAGGATTTCCTATTAACCATGTGGGTTGTCATGGATAATTGGTTTCACGGTTCCGAAATAATTGAACACAGATGTGCTGGAACTGCGCCTTTAAGTTCTATGAGGCTGGTGAAAACTCAAACAATCAAAGCTATTAAAAATATTCCCAAGTAAGAAATGAATATTAGTACAGATAACTTATCGAACGCGAATAAACGGTTAAACTTATTTTCATTTGATGCCTTTGAACGGTTTTCAAAAACGCCAAATTGAAACTCACTTAGAAAATATGTATGTACCTGTATGATATTAATGTGATGTATGCTAATAATACACAATCATTTTTGCTATTATTGTAATATTATTATTCATATTTTCAATTGTTTTTAGATATTTGTCCGATGGTGTCGTAGCTACTTGCATGTGTTTGAATAACAATCAAGACGCTTTTATAGGTACCAACTCTGGACTGATTTTTCGGTGTAATTTAGGAGGACATGAAGTATGGCCAAAATATTACACCTATGGCGAAATAGGTAATTAAAATACCGATTAAATTATTTGAATCAAAATATTCAACATTTATTATTACAATAGTTATAGATTTTATTTAATATAAGTTATTCATAGTACAATATAACGTGAGAATTATTCAACCTGGTACTTGTTATAAAAAATAAATAAATATTGCTAAAATAACTATTAAAAGAAAAATTTAAACATATTTGAATGAATAAATTTGAAAAAAAATGATTAAACTTACATTTGAATAATTTATATTGTTATGCTCAATGTGTATTCAGTACGATTCGATTATAATTTATCCTTTTCTAGACAACTTTTTACTCGTTTTTTTTTATTTTTGAAATAAAACAATATATACGTATTTATTTAAAATTATGATACTCTTAAAGATAAACTCAGAAGTATTTAAAAAAAAAAAGATTATATTTGTATATTATACACATTTTATTATTAATTTTAATAAAAACATCTAAACATTGCATTTTTTACAATTATCAGAGTTGGTAGTGTGAGATAGATTTCCAAAAATTAACTTTGATTTAAATTTTAAAAATATTTGTTATAGGAGAACATTTCTCTATTAATTGGTTGGATATCTGTCCATTTGACATGAATTATTTTTTGGTGAGTATACTAAAAAAATATTCACTTACAATACATTTTACTATTGCCGAATCTAGATCCCTGTACGTGAAAATATGTAAGAATCAGAGAGAAAAAGAGAAAAAAAAATATAATTGTAGGTGACTACGATCCTTCTCTTGACACGATTGATATCGCTATAGTGAAAATTGTTAAAAATCTGTATAGTATTTGGAAATTTAAAATCTAATTAAAAAAATGATTTTATATAAATAATTATTTTTTAATTATATCGCTCTATTTTACATCTCTTCGGTTTTAGAAAACATTATTCAACTATTAATAGCTTAATCCTGTATATGATCGTAACGATTTTGCACATCAAAGAATGAACTCCTCCCAAATAATAACTATGATTTCCTTTAAGGTCTTGAGACAAACAACGAATTGTCTAATATTGTTTAATCCACTCATTTTACTGTCATTAATATAACAGTGTACAGCCATCAATCTATAATTCAAAAGCAATTTTTAGAATATTCTTAATAATATTAATATATATTTCGAAAATTGAAAAAAAAAATTTAAAACCGACACTTGATTCATTTCCGCAAAATCTATGACGGTATAATAAACTCGTTTAAAGGCTGCATTTTCAAATAACGAGGTCATTTTATACCGCACGAGCCGACGGGTAGCGTTAAAGAGATTTTTCACATCTTCGAGTACGCCGAAAACGTTGGCGGTCCTCGTAAAGGCTCAATGGTGCTCCGGATTTCCTGGCATCGTTTTCGGATTGGATTCACTGTCCAAGTAACGTATAACACGGTTCACGTGGTAATATTTTGTTTTTGAATATCTTAACGCAAACGTGTTCGCGAATGTTGTTGTTCTAGCGTACACTTGTGGGACTTATGCAACGACGTTACAATGCCAATGATATCGGTGCCGGCACGGAAAAAAGCTACAATAACATCCATGTCTTTAACGACAACGAGGAAAAATCAAAACACCTTCGCTGTAAGTTGATCTATAAGCCATACATTAAACCCATGGTCCCATAAACTCTTAACAATTAAGACACCAACAGTTATTGTATTCGTTTTTGCAAGTTGTCAGAAATTCAAATGATATTACGCGACGAATACCATATTTCATATTAATTTTTTTTACCGCTCGTTTTCCCAATCAGTAAGTGCCAGGCTGATCGTATCGAAGATTTAAATACTATTATACTAATTGAATTTGGACATGTGTAGACATTTTGACAAATATTGTCAATTGATTTTGACGGTGAAGAGCCGAAAATGACAATTTTATGAAGGTCTCTTTTTTAACTCGAAACAGCTATTCCAAACCAATGGTGTACGTGCATCAATCAACATGAATGTGTACCGGAAAAAGCGAACACGTTTTACGCAAAAAAAATATATCAACATTTTTTTATTGATGATTAAGTAACTAAGTTTCAATTGCACATATCCCTGTACGTAAAATGTATTCATTTTTTTCTTTGATTGGTACCTAAGCAACAATCTTCAAAACACGAATTTTCGAAATTCAAAAGTTGATAACCACTGCTCCAAGCCATCTAATATGTAGACTCTCCCGTTTTTTATTCTATTTAAAAGCTTAATGAAAGTACTATTTTACTTTCCGGTCTAATACAACTATAAATTCTATAAGTGACGATTTTCAAAAAAAAAGTAAACTATTTTATTTTTGATTCATTTGAATAAGTGTTTTATAAAATTAACGAATATTTTATCAAATATTAAATAATCGCGTCGAAAAAATTAGTATAAGAAAAAGTAAATCAATTTGATTTGTGTTTTAAATATTTAATATTCTATTTAATATCTAAATTGGTGTTGATTATTTGTAATGTGGCCCGAGAAATGTATTTATGGTCCTTAAATTTAACGGTCCAAATAATATATTGTATATTTATACACATATTTCCAATACGTTGAAAAATATTCAACTATAGTGTATATGATTAAATTAATGTTTTGTTATATTTTTAGGGATTAGCGTTTACTAATGGTGAAGTGGAATTGCATCGAGTTCAATTAGACAATAGCAGAACAGTAGAAAATGGAATTGAACATTGTGATGTGTTATCAAATTTTTTGGCAAATTTATGAATGAAAAATTTTAACCATTGTATTATTACGCATAAGGTGCCAGTAATAATAATATATTAAATGTAATAGTACAATATATTTCACTATTTTTAATGGCGTTTATTGATAAAAATATTACTATGAGTTTGTATGGTAGGACTTATGAGTAGGTATACTCAGGAAAAAAAAAATCGTACAATGTTACATGAAATATGTCAGTAAAATTACATAAAATTATTTAAATTTACCACGTGCATAACTATCAACTTATATAACTGTACCCTATATTGTGAAAAATTAAAAAAAAAAAAAAATTATAATAAAAATATAGTAATATTAACAAAGATAAATATAACATTCATTATACATTATTATAATATTTGCAATCCGTTCTTTGATTTATAATAACGTAATTATTATTGACAATTCTAACTGTCAATCAGTCTATATAATATTTCGTAGTTAGAGAGAAACGAATACTATGCCTCTTCTCTTTTTGTGACATCTTATGAACTTTTCCATTATTTTTGTTCATGATTTGCATTCTTGTAATTTTCATCGACCAATTTACTCCACTGTTGCATGTTGCTCAACGCTCCTTCTTTCATGACGTTCAGCTTTGGATTCATTTGACCCAATGACTGCATAAAATTATGTTTAATGATCAATTATTTCATATGTTTAATAGATTTTTTCAAACGTTTTTCGCATGATTTAAGTGAATAGATATGTTTAAAATCAATGAGAAAATTATTCGAATACGTGAATTGAAATTTTAAATTGCATAATTATAATCAATTACAATTTTGGTACAAATTACATTTAACCATTAGAGAAAAAAAGAATTTTTACCTGATATAATGGTAAACATATGTCAGCGATCCATCTTATCTGTAACTGAGGAAGTTCATGTTGTCTCTCTCGATCCATGAGTGCTTGAGGTTGAATCTTTAACTCAAATCTCTCCTTATCACCTTGCTCGATGAACTCATCTGTCACTAATCTGGCGGCTCGTTGTTGAACGTGCCACTGTTTTGTAGATGCAGCCAAGTCTGACGATGTCATCAACATTGCCATTAGTAAGTAGCGCTGTGAGTCTTCATCCCAACTGTATTCTTTCGATTCGATTAATCGGAAGAACTTGTTTCTTAATCTAGTAAAATAAAAAAATAAACATAAAGCTACACAAATAATACTCAAATAGCATTGTTGAACATAGTTTAAAATAAAAGTTAAATATCATACTACATAATCATACTCAAAACATTTACATTTAGATATGTTTTAGAACACTATAAGAAAATCAATTATCACCATAAAAAATAAACTACAGTTATATATTGTGTATATAAGTATAATTTCATAAAAATAGGATTATTTATACAACTTTAAGTTTGAAGATCTTATAAAAAAGTACTGAAAATATATTAGAAAAATCATTAAATATATATAACCAAAAACATGTACATATAATGAAAAGATTTATGGTAGAAAAAATGTTTATAAAATACATTATTTGTTAATATTAATTAGTATAAATTAGGCTCACGTCAATTATGCGCTTGTTTACTTACTGGAAGTACATACAGAGATCAGTGGCCAGTATACTATGTTTTAAAACTTTCATAACTGTTGAGAAACTTTCCGCTGATAGACTCGAAAATATGTTAAGATTCTAGATAAATACAAATTTATATATTGTTAAACTTATATTCTGACTTGAATATCTGATCAGAAAATTATATACTTACCTCGCTGCTCAGTATCATCACTGCATGATTGAAATGATGATGTTCCATTGTATTGGTAGTTCCGTACAATAACACTAATGCTGATCTAGCTCTAGAACGTAATTGTATATATTATGCACATTTATTTCATGTAAAAATTATAATAACAATATAAATAAAATGTTTTCACAATTATAAGAAAATTCTAAGTGACAAACTGAAATTCAATATATTTAAGAGATAGGTACTCCGATTCATTTATTTCATTAAATTTCAATAAACCAACTCATTGAATAAAATATAGAGAGAATGATAATTTAAAGTATGTATACACTGATTCGATCAATTCGGGATGTATAAAGGGTGATACAAGATGTTTTTTTTTCAGTAGACAATAGATAAATCTTGACATACATTTTTATATAATTACTTAGCATTTTTTAAGGCTATACATAATACAGATTAATACTCAACTCTAATGTTTTTCTAGGTTTCTCTTAAGTTAATTATTTATTTATTTCAAAAGAAAAAATGCTCAGAAAGAAAGTTATAGGTAAATTTTGAATGGGTATTTTTACTGAGTACTTAATACTGAATGTTAGTCGCCTGTTCACTTAAAGCAGTTTTTTATTTTACTTTTATGTAAATATTGTTGGCACTCATTTTGATTACGAAAATATTCAGTGCATAGATATTTTATATTAACTTTCACGTGAATCGTTTTTTGAATTAAATATATCACCATATACGTACGCAAAACTGTATTCAGGGGATGCCTACAGTACTTTCAGGCACTATCTTAACAAAGCGCATAAATATATTTAATAAACTATAATGTATAAATAATTGAATAAACATCATTTTCATTTTTTATTTTATAGTGTGATATATTTGTCCCAATGAATATATTTTTTCCTTAAATCTCATATATTTTTCTCAGATAGCTTTAATTATTAATGATTTATAATTTTGTAGTCAATTTCAGCTGTTATTTTATTATATTTTTTTATAAGAAACCAAAAAAAATGTTGTTTTATTTTTCTATTTTGAAATATTATTTATTTTTTGCCTTATATTTTAGAATAAATTATATTTAATTATCTGAGCAAAATCACTTAAAATACGGACCCCTTACTCTTAGACCAATACTTCAGAACTCCATTTACATAATTTCGTAGAATACCTGGGCACAACAGGCAGTTAGTAAGCGTAAGCCTATATACATTACACCATTAAATATATTGCACAGTGAAATACCTTAACCTTTAAATCGGTTGAATCAGTATTTTACTGTTAGTAAATTTAAGAATAATTTAATTATTTTAATTTTCGTTAGAAAAAAAAAAAAATTATTAAATCATTTTTAACATTTCCTCAGCTTAAACGATAAAAAAAATTAGTAAATATTTATGTTCAATTATTGCCATTAAACTATTTTCATCTTTAGTTATTACTTATTTATGATTTTTGTGTAATTAAGTTAAAAAATATTCACGAGTCTGATGCTTACTTTTCTTGAAACGAGTTGTTCGTTCCTCGATGATCAAGATCATGGCACAGACAACCAACAAACATTCCTAGTACTTCAAGATCGGAAAATGTGTTCTTCATGTCACATCCCTTAAAGAAAATAATATTCATTGTAATATACTAAAACTATTTCAAAATCATTATTTTAGATTTCGTAATGCATTCATTTACCATCATAATAGCGAACATGACTTGTGCAACATTGAAAGCGTGTCTCCAGTTATGATAAGGTACATCTCTGTAGTTACGTTTCACTGTGATGAGGAATCGGTATAGCGTCTAAAATAATAACCATATTTAAGTAAAGATTTAAAATTTTCAATTAACAGAGAAATTGTAAAAAAAAAACCCTTTAATATTTAAAATTAATTATCTTGGGGCCAAAAGTTAAATAATCAATACCAACTTAGAGAAACAAGATATAATATAAAACAATATATTAAATAATTAAAACACATTATGTCAGATTTAGTTTAAAAAAAAAAAATTAAAAAAATGTGGTAGCTGACTTCCATATTATGTTTTGTACATTTTTGTCAAAAATATTTTTGAATTTTTTAACCTTAAATTATACATATTACATAGAATAAAACGTTTCAACGAAACATTGTTGGTAAAAAGTTGATATTTTATAAATTAGTGTATAGGATCTTAATTTTTACAACAGTTTTTTTTTAATTATACAATATTCATTATTTTTTAGTACGTGTAAAAGTAAAGTTTTAAAGTTTATGATTTAATTATGTTTATAATCAATCAAATATGTAAAATAAATTATTTTAAAATATTTTTACTGAAATATTGAACAGTTTCGTATGATATTATATATTTATTTTAAATTATTGAAATAATAGAAATCTACAATCTGATATTTTTGTCTAATATCTTCGTTCTTATGTTAACAAAATTATAATTAAAATTGAAAACAAATATTCTAGGTCAAACTACTGAAAAAAAACACTCGACAACTACGAGTTAAATTATTTTTAATTAATGCGTTTCTTTAAAAACTGAAACCCACATAAATATTGAATATTGATTAAGTAAATCACCATATAAAGCAGCCAATATTAGTATTATTTCATAATATTAATTTGAAAAATCCATTGATTTAAGCAATAAATATATTTGTAAAAATAAGTAAGACGTAGCTCATTGAACTAGATTCATTAATTACACACTTACTTCTTTTTCGATGTTAAACGTTTTGACAAGTCCAAGTTCCAGAAACATGCTCACGGCTGCCATAAGCATTTCATCGTCGTTTAGTGAAAAATCGTCAAATGCCAAAGAATACAAATTCAATGAATCTACAGCTGGTACTGGCATTCCCTAAATGGTTAAATAATAATAGTAAATAATTAAAATAAATGAATACGTTTTATTTTTGTTTCCTTTAAATAATTATGGTTTGGTAAATGGAATATTTTTTTCTTGAATAAACATTTATTTAAATTTTAAATAGTATATTTATTTGACAAATTTAATACGTTTCTTTTGTATGACAACTATCTTTATTCCGCAAACATATTGGGGCGTTTTTATTATGTTTTTACTATAAACTACTCATTGTTAAATCAATAAATACGTCAATACCATTTATAATAATATATATTTCAATTCGTTTGAATATATTTTATCGGGGGCATTAAACTACAGAAAACGGTCTTAAGTTCAATGACTTGGTGTTCAAAAGTTTTTTCATTATTTCCCGGGTATACAAATGAATCCCCGAAAATGTTAGTGTCTAGTTGGAATCGAACTCCAAAAAGTTTTCGTGATAAAATATTGAAAAATAAAATTTACAAGATTAAAGCTTACCAAGATACGTTCCACTTCTTTGTTGGAAGCAGTCGCATGATAGGATAGGACCTGGAAAAACAATTTATATTTATTTTGGATGGCTCATTTGTCAGGCGTACATTAAACGCCAACGCGTTCTTACTTCTATGGAGACTTTTTGTCTAGCCATTGCTTTCTCCACCTCACTGTACATAAGTGTATTATGTATTCCTAGTCCACAGAATATTGTAAAAGCCTAGTTTAAACAAAATTGTATGAATTAGATGTACATGATCCTGATAATATTACCTCCAATATGTTTATCGATATTTTTGTTAACAAGAAATTAGCAATTTGTATTACATTCAATTAATGTTGCTGAAAAAATTATTTTTATCTAGTTATAAGGTTCAACAAAATGTTTTAACAAATAAGTTTTTACTAGCAATAATATAAAAAAATTAACAAATCTTACAATTAAAAATGTCGATACGTAGAATAAATGAGTTTTTGATTCAAAATTTAATTTTTATGTTTTAAAATTTTGTGTAAAGATTTATTTTTTTTTTAATTAAAATATAGGACACAGTTAAAACTTATGACCTTTTTATGATACAATAATAATAAATTTAAATTTCTTCATAACTATTGCATTATTCAAAGATGTTATTGAATACATTTTAATATTAAGAATGTTATATATATATATATATATATATATTGCCCCATTGTATTATCAACGTAAACAATTATTACAAATAATACAAACCATTTAATAAACTATTCAACATTTTCATTATGATGTTGTAATATAAATTTAAATGGTGCATGAAATGGAAAACCCTTTTTTATGTATCTGAGCTTTAAATTATTGTTAAATTGTTTTAGAGGTGTAAAAATGTTTATTTTAATAGATGTTAATTGTAAAAAAAAAAATGAAAAAATCCAATTATATAATAAAAATTAGTGTAGCCATAGAAAACGATATCAAATTTAATTGCACATGAGCTTATCAAAATGGTTCAATTATAAATATTTGGTCTAATATCTATAATTTATTCCACTCTAATAACCTAAATGTTCCTATTTTTATCTAAAATCACATAGAATATATATGTATGGTCTTATCATAATTTGAGTGAAAACATTGTGCAACTAGTTATATAACTACAATACAACTATATGTGGATAATAACTACTTTTTGAAATATACAGAAAATTGTGAAACCGTATTTTAAAAGTTCTTACCTCAAATAATTGTTCGTCGTACTCATCGAAAGGCAAAGAATTCAATTTGTTGATAATACTGGCAACACCTGTAAATCATTTTGCATTAGTGTAACGATACGATAGAATTATTAGCAATAATTCTTAAGGTTACGAGTATATATGATGTATTAATTGTAATTATAAAATTATAATAGAATACGACCGATCCATCGTTAAAAATAACAGATTTTACATCAATCCCTGCACTAATCATGTACATCCTGTATGCATCCATTATCATTCAGTCAGCCAATACTATAAGTTTGATATTACCTTCAAATAATTTCAAAATAATTGAAAATCTATGTAATTGAAGAGTCGTTAAAAATATTTTATTAGATTTACAGCAGCAGATTCTGTCTCTAAACATAGGCTCCTGTGGGAATAAGGCGCAGAGTTCACAATAATCGTATTTGATGCTGCAGTACGATAACTGTGTTACATAAATATGTATAAGAGAAGATATTGTAGACATAAATACAATCGTGAATATAAGAAATGTGTATTTACTGCGATGGAAATGAATTAATATAATATAAAGGAACCTTTCGGGGTTAGAATATAATTATAGCTGTTCTGTGTAGAAATGTATGACCTCGAAGCAACGGTCGGTGTTATTGACCCGTTGGACTTAAACTTATTGTATTATAACGTTTTGTGATTGTAGAAGACGTTTCAGTATAATATCAATAGATGTACTTAGAACAACAACTACAGTACTGTTGTGTACAATATTGATAAAATTACTCCAGAACTGAGAACGGAAAAAAAATATTTGACCAAATAAACTAAATGATTTATTGAAATAGTTATTTTGTAGATAGTATTTATTTACTTTAATATAATTCAATAATTTAAATTGTTTTCAGTAAATGTAAGGAAATAATAATATTCCTATTTATATACTATATATGGAATATATATATATATATGGAATATTTATACGAGACCAGTAAAGGTACAACACCTTACGTTACAAAAAAAAAAATTTTTAGTCTTCTAACGACCCCATATAATGCAAGGTATATTTACACTTAGTGGAATAAAAATTCAAAATCTTTTATCTAGTATAGAAGTAGGATATATAAATTTAAGTTACGGTTTCTGAAAATGTTGTTGCAAATAATTACGATAATGTTGAAAAATATTGGTGGAGTCAATTAGGAATAGTGGTAGGAAATTTTATTAATGACCATGGTACTAGGTGAAGCGATAAATATAATTTTGAAACAAAAATTGGCAATAATTTACAAATAATTGACCTGAACCGGAATTGGAATTTATTTCTTTTGTAAAATCAAACAGGGACCAAGACCAAAAAAAACCATTAAGGTCCCGATACTTAAATTCAATTCTAACGCATTTTTTCTTACCGATTATTTGATCATTTTTGTTCCTGATGGGCATTGCTAACAATGAATTGATTCCAGAATCCACAATCCCTTCATTACAGTCATGTTCGTTAATATTCAAAACTTCTCCTGAACAAGCCACCCTTTCCGCTAGGCTTTCCAGATACCGTGAAACGTTTTCGCCTTCCACTTTTTGTCTAGAACTGTTGCACAAATAGACAATGAACAGAAAAATCGATTTATAAATTAAATATACTGAGACTTCATTACTTCTTTACGCTATTTTTTGTGTGTTTTGGTGAGTTTAGATCGAACAGTTTGGAGAACCTGGTACTGTCACACGATTCGTCCACTAACAACACGGCGGCTCGCTCGCATTTCAAGAGCCTCTGAGCTCTCTGCATTATCTTCATAATAACTTTGTCTATGGACGTTTGTTCTTCAAATAAGTCATGTACCACCTCCAACAAGTTCTGTAATTAAAAAATCGTCTAGTTTCACTGAATTCTATCGACCAGAATTAAAATCATCCCATCTGGAACGTTTGAACACTTACTCTGTTACGATCATATTCTGCTCGAGAATCCTCAACGATCTGTGCATTAGTAATAGCTATGCCAACAAATTGCAAGTACGTCTCAAAAAGCTGAAAAGTCAATATATTGATTAAAACTGGATCAAAATTATGATAGTATGTGCTGGACAGAATTATAGACAGATAAAGAAAAATGTTAAATTTAAAACAATGTACAATATACATTGTACATACGTCAGCGATAAATGCGAGTACTAGAAAATACTTTTTATTATTTTTTTTATTTTTACAAGAAATATACAATCAAGAAAATGTGTGCGTACAGTTTGGCTATTCACATGTGACGTAGAAAAATACTTAAATACGATTTTTGTTAAGATAACTGAATTAGCTACTGAATTAGTATTAATTACTACTAGATGACTCGACAAACGTTGTTTTGTCATATAAATTATTTCTTGAGAATATTTTGCTAGAAAAAAATTACTAATTTAATATAAATATGTAAAGATGTGCTACATAAGTGAAAGAGGTATGGAGTGCTATGAACGGTGACGAAATATAAAAATGAAAAAACATCAAATATTTATTTTATTAATAATTTATTAAAATGTATCGTTTAAAATTGTATATATATCGCTAATTATGACAATATTAGAAAAAAAACAATATCAATCCCTTAATGCCACAGAATGTACAATATTTTTTGTTATACCATCTTTCACCAACACAAACAAACTGGATGGTTCGAGAGCATGCCACGTATAATTGTCCATGTGAAAAATATATGTTCAAATCTAAGCCACAGACATCGTTTGGCCTTGAGACTTATTTATAGTCATTACAAATGCCAATCTAATTGGAAATTGAAGGCGTTTAAATTGTATTGTCACATCTGTGGGTATAATAAGGATTCACGGTAATAATATATTTTCACCTCAGAATTTGCTATTTAAAAAGATAGATTCGATAACATTTTTAATTATTTTTTTAATAACTAATCGCGAGCCGTTGCACAAACGTGGTGGATTCAAATTATGAAGCAAAATAACTGGAGATCCAACCTTCAGTAGTAAATTATGTGGTGACATGCCTGGTAAATCCAATGAGTTTAAAAATTCTATTGGATAATTTACAGCTTCAGTAGGATCGCAAACTGTATCAATAGATTTGTATGATACCAAGTCTTCTGGTAACAAATATTGTATCTTGAGATTCAATTCGTTGACGTCCACATTTTTGCTGTTAAAATTGCTCTTTCTACCAGTCACTCATGATTTGTGTATTGTCTGTGTACATTGGGAAATATCTAGTCAATGAGAGCATTTTGCGAATTTATGATTGTACAGAAATCGGTCCGTAATTTTATGCATCCCGTTTCATCTGTAGTAACTTTCCCATCACCGATATCTAACAATTGTTTTGAGAATCTTCCACACACAGCTTTTTTTGATTGAATCGCAAGTATTGTAAGTAGAGCTCTCTATCTTTACAAACATGTCGACCATGAATTGTTGACAAAGCTCACGACATCGTAGAATAACGTTGTCCTGATCGCGTTTAATCATCAACATTCTTGTTTGTTTTGGCACCTGTTGCGGGATCTTGTTTAATATTTATGCAATACCGAAAATAAAATTAATAGTTTTTAAATAATTTTAATAGTTTTTTATAGTTTTTTTAATAGTTTCATTTAATAATTAATTTTCGATTGCGCAGTTATCGACCTGGTCAAAAATTATTAAATTGAACTACAATTTATTAAACGATAGCACATTTACAAATTTTTTTTTCGTAAAAACCTTCTTTTAGCAATTACGAACAATTAAAAAAATTTGAGCCAAATCGGCTTATTCGTTCTCAATTGATGAAATGTTATACATTTTTGGCTCTATTTTTATATATATAGATTAACAGAGCAGGATTCAGCTCAAACGGAGGCTGCAAATGGAATAAATAAATTCGACTAACGTGGCACTTAAAAAATGGAGTGCTACGAAAGTGAAGAACCTATCTGAATTTCTCATCAAAAAAAAAAAAGAAAGCTCTGGTACATAACCTGATTAGTGGTAGAAATAATGAGCCCGCCAAGAAAATATGAAATAAAATCAAAAAAGGACAACTCGGATATATTTCTTGTTGAAAACGGTAGTGTTCATTTCTTATAAAGCTTGTTCGAAGAAAGCTAATGGAAACAAGTTGAAAAGTATGACTATCAATGATGATATAATTCTACAGATCAATAACAATTGATTTCCACGTGGAAATAATAATGTCATGGACGAGAAAAAAAAATTGAATAGAAACTGATAAGCGATGGAACATTAACACCAACAGAGCTAATGAATATTTAACAATGACCACTGACTAACATGAACACACAACGCTAACTTCTAACTATGACGTTGACGCATTTGGGTATTACGAATGTTTGAAACTTTCCAAACTCATAAGCTGTTTTTGACGTAAGCACTGCATACCTTTTCATCCATACTAGTGAAGTGTCCATCATCTTTGTCAGGGTTTTTATTGTTGATCTGCGCCACCGCTATTATGTCTTCGTAGGAATTTTTTACCGGCATGCATAGTAATGATGACGTGTAGTATCCCATTATACGGTCTACCTCATCATCAAATCTTGGATCCTGTAATTTTAATATTATATTCAAACAATGATTAAAGTTATTTTAATTTTTTTTACAAGTCGTTATGTCGCAAATAAAAGAATTTTTTTCCTAATCTTCCATATAAGGAGTCGTAAACAAAATTCAAAGAGAAGTCCTTATATAAAATATAAGATCTCAAAATGGTAAAAGTTGGTTTTTCAAGTCATGAAATAATAAAAAAATAAATCTACTAAAATTGAAATTACCATTCATCTCTGTTTTTTTTTTTTTTAATACAATATTTGTTCCATTATTGATTTAGTTTTCAGCTATATGCGTTTGATATCTTTTGAAAAACTATATTTATTTAAAAATCAATTTACATATTTAATGGTTTTTTTCACTTGAATATTAGTTTCCGAGCGAGTTAAAAAAAAATACATAAATAAAATGCATTTGCACAATATTCTGAGTTATATGATGGAATAAATATTTATTCACTCATAAAGTTGTAATCGATTAAATTCCATTTTATCGAAAGTCGAGACGATGAAACGCATCAATGCGAACAAAAATATAATTGTTCTTTGAGAATAGCTATGAATATATTATCATAATAATTTATTAACCATAAGAAATGTATTAGAATGTTTTATTGAAGATAATAATATAATGTAAATAAAGCCATAGGTTAAATATTATGTATAAAGCCGTAATAAATATAAAATGATCTGTAGAAAATTAAATAATAAAACAAAATATATCCCAACATTTTTCTAAGTTATAAAAAAATATAAAATAGAGTTTATAACTTAAAATTAAATATAAATTTTAGATTTTGAGGGTGTGTTGTTTTATTTTTTCTGTTTACATGATTTTGACCAAAAGGGTTGCTTCGAGCATCATAACCATGAAAATTTTTTAATAAGAAATTGTGTCAGTTGAGTAATTTTTTTTGAATTTCCTAAGAATTATCCAATGAATCAAAAAAACCTTCAATAGAGAATCAATCGATTTCTACACAATTTCTTTAGACAAAATAGAATATTTATATAAACACTTTAAAGACGTTTCATTAGAAATATTTTAAACGTTACTTTAACCTGTATTACATTTTCTTCTAACCACTAAATATACTGCGATTTTCAAGCAGATATTATACAGAGCTGATTTCTAATAACTTGAATCCGAAATGAGAGAAAATCATATTTTGGTCTGTCTTGTTAATTAACTCCAAAACATATTATATTCAAATCAACGCGGTGATGTTGAGTAGTGTTCTGAGTAGTGGACCAACTGAAAAACAGGGCGTAATTTTCAAATTTATAAACATACAGCTAAACAATTATGTCTTTTTTGATGACAGAATTATATAATAGGTTTAGTATGATACTTTGATGAATCTTAACAGAAAAAAAAAAAAAGAACGTAATAATGGCTCATTTCGGATGTGCTGTTTTTAGGTTTCGAGAATTTCTGATGATCGCGAGTTATAAAAAAGCCGGATCGCATGAACGTTTCATCAGCGTTATCGAATCGCTAACATATCGGTTACCGGTTCGACCAGCTCTGTTGGTGGGATTTCGATGTGTATTTGTTAGTCACAGCAACGTCGTTCGGAAGTTTTTAAGACGTCAATCGGTAACCGATGCCGACAATAACACTGCGTGGTGTTGTTCACACCGTTCGCGACGGTCGATCGGGGACCGGTCTCTTACCTCGCACGCCACGTCCAGGTTGACCGTCTCGCCGGTGGACGCCACGTGGCCGAGTATGCCCACGCCCCACGGTATCTGCACCTCGTTGTCGGCGGCCGCGGCCGAATCGCCAGCGTCCCGGGGCACGTTGTCCGGCAGCAGGAACCGGCCGCGCGCGCCGCTGTGCACATCGAACACCTTGGACACCAGGCGGCGGCGCATGGAGCCCCTGGGCGGCCCGTCCACCAGGAACAGCGAGCCGGCGTCGCAGTCCAGCAGCACGGTCAGGTTGTCGACGATCTTGTGCGACAGCGACTTCAGGTCCAAGTCGGTGGCGATGTCGCGGACCGCGGTCAGGAAGAAATCGCGTTCGCCCTGCGTGCGCCGCAGGTCCCGCTTGGCGTCCGCACTGTGCGCCGGCACCGGCCACCTGGGCAACCGCACCTTGGAATCGATCAACAGCGACAGCATGCTTATCGGGCTCGGCGGCAACGATGTGAACCTGTGTGACATTCGAAACATTGATTTTTCATCGTTATCGAAACGTTATGAACGACTCGTGACCACCGTTCGGCCGAGAAACCCGTTTAGGCCCAGTACCAGAAATCCACCGGACAGGACGGGCCGCGTGGGGGTTTGCTGCATGAGTTCTACTTCGGAATCACCACTCGGCCGGCGGTTCAGGCCAAGCGCGCGCACGAAGCAACTGTTCCGCGACAAAAGTTGTAAATCAGTAGCGCGTGCAACTCGCACACCAGGCGATCGATTAGCAAGCAATCGGCTTAAAATCGGTTGTACGCAATCGTTTTCCGCGAATGCAATTACTATGTGGCACCGAACCACTATGTTCGTGCACGTTAGGGTGACCATATAAAGAATAAAAAAAAAAAAAACAGGACACTTTTTTTGCAATGGGTAAAAAAAAATTATTAACTATCGTCAACACAAAAAACTTATATGTATGAAAACAAAACTTATAATTTCGAAAAATAACTATTGTTCTAGTGTTATGAATGTTATTTATTAATTTTATTATTAATTATTATTATTGTTAATAATGTTATATATTATATCATGTTACAATGATGATATATTATAATAATCGACGATTGACATCGTTGTAATTTTGGAGAAAATAAATACCTACACTAAAAATAAACATCTCAGTATGATTGGATTTCTTAGTTAAAAATATCTAAAGCAATTTATTGTTGATGACTATCAATTAATCGCTAAAATCACTTTTTGATGAAAAAATAATGAAAAACAGGATTAAAATTGGACAGTCACGGAAAACAGAATTAAATGCGTCCTGTTTAATTCTGATTGAAAAAACAGGACCTATGGTCACCCTAGTACATGTTCAGTTCGTTTTGATACTCTGTTTATATTTTAGTGAACCTACGTAAATCGACACAACTTATCCAAAATCAGTTATGTGCGTGTGGGCACAGAAGTTTTAAAAGGTTGCAAACTAGTTGTAAGCTCAACTGATTCACAACTTTTGTTGTCAAAACCGTTGCACCACGTGCGCCTGGCCATGGACACGCAGTCGATTTCGGTAGTGAGAATAGACGCTCGACCAAGTGAATAGAAACGGTTTATATTCACTTGTTCAAAAATTTTACTGGGCCGAGTTCACGTGGGACAGGGCTCGGCTGAGAGTGTTCATCGTGTATCAACGAGGATTAACGCTAATGTTACGACGTTAATGGTCGCCACGCAAGCGTGTTTCCGATCGAACGCGTGTCGGGACGGCGTTCGGTAGAGTAACGGTTGGCCCCGGACGGATTGCATTAGCTGCTTATTCACGGTTTCGTCTCGGGGAATGAAGGTGGAGGGTTCAGATACGAGAGGACAGTGGTCATCGGTTTGTCGTTAGCGAGTTTCGATGTACTTCGAACCGTAACTAATGCACGACGGTTTGTCAGGAGAGCGTTTAAATTTTCGAATAATCGTGGACGCTATTGTTGTTGACAACGAATCGAGGGAGCACAGGGACTAATGATTATTTGTGTGTAGATGATTCGGTTAAGGATAAACGCACGAGCATGTGTTATTGTATTCTACCGATTCGACAACGAGTCCGTTTGCTTAACGCGATTACTGAAAATAACAATTCACGAATTACTGCGTTCGATTTTTTTTCGCTGGACTTAACAAGTGCAAAAAACAAATTATATTTAATCGTTTAAAATTATACCGCTCGTGTTATGCAACGCGACCGTCTGGTGCGCGACAAAATGTCATGTATTATACGATGTCACTTACATTCTTCCGCAAGTCGATAACAAATAAAATATTTTATATTTGATTGCACACCAACCACGCATATGGCCGTATTAACAATCGTTTAATGGTACTCTCGAGTACTATATAGAAAAATAATAGCTCAAGTCTAAGCGTGGCCAAAACGATTACTATTAATATAATAACAATAATTATAAGACAATTATTGATATTATTAATCACTATGGAAAATATTAAAATTCGGTGATGTAACCACACGTAACTACATTTTTTTTTAATGTTAAGTTCGGCGGAATTCTAAGTTGAGCAGAAAGTTAAACTATGAGACTGTGTAGTTGAACAGACATGATTCATGTTTTAACCTTCAACGAAAAAAACACGAAAAAACATTAATTAAATTCACAGACGGTTTTGTTTATTTACATTTTTAAACGTCGAAGGTTCGGATCATTTATAATGATGGCAGATGATGACAGTAATAAGAATAAGTAAAGAAATAGACTTACAGCGGACGTTGTAGTGGTGTGCATAAGGAATAGATGTCGAGAAACCCCCATCACGCACTCAGATGATGTACCGCTCGACCACGTACTTCTGTACGATGTGGTAAGATGTCATTATGACGGCACACTTATGAAATCGATCGAAAAATACATCGAATACGTGACTAAACACGGGCGTACACAAAAACCACAGCATAAAACGATATTGAAATAATGGCATCACTACACACTCGCATATGAAAACAGAAGTTATATTTTAACCATATAATTCTTTAAAAGCATTTTTATATAAATACAAAAGCTAAAAACAAACATTTAAAATCTTAACAATTGATCCATTCTCCTTTCATACGCCAAAGCCGAAGTGCACAAAGTTAAAAATGAGAAAAAAATTGTTCCATTATTGTTATTATTATTAGCTCCTACTTACTACCCTCATTATATGTTCGTTATTACGTGTTTTATTTAAAACCACAGCGTTTTAATAACCATGAAGTGTCTAGAATAATCATTTAAAATTCTTATAAAAAATAACATATTTTATTCAGTTGATTTTTTGATACCCCATTAAGGTCTAGATAAAAATATTACTCAAGATTTCTTCAAAAATATCCCGAACAAAAATAAGTTAATGATTAAATTATGTATCAAATTATGTATTATTTTCTGAACTACAATTTTAAAAAATAAAATAAAATTTTGATTCAAGTTATTTTCATTAGTCATATTTTATATTTTAGTAATTATCTTAAGATGGAAAGTAAATGATTTATAAATATTACAATGTTTATTTATTTTTAAAGCGCAGTGTACCATGCCTAGAAAACAAACAAGGCTTTTAACTGAAATTAAGTTGAAGAAAGCTTTTCTAGGTCAAAATAGTGTTTATCGTAAAAGCTTATCTCTTGAATTCAAACATATTCGCAGAGTTATTTTAAAAGATTTATTCTACACACGAAAATATAATCTAATTTTAAAACAATATTTGCCAGAAAGACCTTATCAAATAAAACTTTAATCACACAGTAAGGCCATGTTCGGAATTAAAATGAAAAATGCAATAAGATTTGATAAAACCACTTTGATTCCTAACCGGAGGTCTCAAGAGGTTTTTATATTTCCGGGTACGTAGTGTAAAATATTTGTTTAAAGTAAATAAAATTATTCCCCCGAAGAACCTAAGGCTATCAGTTCTGATTTTTTTTCAAATCAGTATAATGGTTCAAAAACTCAAATTTATCCCGTAAAATAGGTATATATTGAAGTTATGAGAAGATTCACAAAAAACAACTTATCATAAAAATAATTTGATTAATACCTATTTAATATTTCTTTGTATATTTTTAATTTTTTCGATAAGAAATATTACAATAAATATGTATATATTTAATAACCTAGTTTCAATATATTGCAACCAAAAAAAATTAACTGTCAGCCACTAGATGTTTTTTTTTTTTATTGATCGTTTTATATACATTTTAAGACTATTTATACATCTGAAAAACTTTTATCTATGCTATAGAAAACGATATAACTATATAAACGATTTACGGATGGTTGATAAATGGAATAATAAAATATCAACGACATTCGGAGGGTTAAAGTGGACCAACTAAGATTTACTATTATTATTAGGATAAGATGTTGAGAGCTATTAAATTATTTTTCGGACCTTTTAGACGATACTATCATAGCAAAATATATTTTCTTAACAAATACATTTTAATAATTAAGTTCAATATACATCTTTTACATTTTGGTATTTATTTAATCATTTTTGGTATTTTATTTAACCGTTACCGAATAATGAAATAAAAAAATATTATTTTATTTGAATTTTTTTTAACGTTTTTTTTTATTTCTTTAAAATTATTGCTAAAATTAATGCTATTATTATTATTATTAAATTTATAATACATTAATTTTTAAGGTTAAAATTCGATTTTAAAAACAAAATTTAATTAAATTTATTTTAAATTACTATAATGATTGAGTTATGTTAATTTTTAGTTATTAAAAAAAAATTCATTAAAATTTACATAAAAAATTACTAAAAATACATTAAGCCAATTATATTGATGATAAAATATCAAATTGAAATTGCTAATTTGATCTAAAATATTTAAAGTATTATTTTAGACGAAAATAAATATTATAATATTTGCCAGACTTATTATTTTATTCACGTATTATAATTTTGTAAAATTCATATCCTTATCATCTAGTATTAAACCTTTTGATACTGAAATATAATTCCACCACATATTTCTTATGAATTTTTAAAAAATAAACAATTAAAACATTTGTAATTTTTTTTTTTTTTTTTTTTTTTGTGACAAATAATCTTTCACTCGTACTTAGCATATTAGCATGCAAATGACATAGGAGTGAGTGAGAATAGTTGATGTTGGCAGGCACGCTTTTATGATATAATAACATATTATATTTATAATAGGTAGTATATATATATTAAATATTTTACACTCATACACAAAATGTATTATTATGTTGATTCTCAAATTTGTAATTATTAAGGGGAACAAATAATATTTAAAGAAGTGAAAAACGTTAAATTATCCATAACACAATTTTTTCACGCTTAAAAATTCTAAATGTAACATGAGAAAATATGTAAATAACATGAGAAAATAACTCCGAAATACTTGTGTAAAATATGTAATATAATTAGTCACTGCACGGAACTATTTTGTGTAAGTTCAAGATTAATAATTTTGAATATCAGAAAATA